CAGGACACGAACCGCGGTCGACTACGTGGGAGTCCAGCGACATAGCCATTACACTACCTGCCGGTTCTCTCCAAACTTTTTTTAAGATATTTTGCCAGGACTAGCAGTTGTCATAATGGCTATGTTGCTGGACTGCCATGTAGTCGACCACAGTTCAAGTCCTGGACCCGGTGGCTTAAACTCATGCCAGGCATGTGTGCTTGCGTGCCCAAGATCCCGAGATGAGAATGGAGAAGGGATTGCAGTGTGGCCATCCCCCCTGGGGTGGTGATTTCTCGTTTTCTGTCTCTGTCTCTCTCTCTCGAGCGTACACATCTTATAGCAAAAACCACTCCTAAAAAATAAAAATATAAAGGTTTTTTTTGCCATATGGTGTGTATACTTGACAGATAATGTGAGAAACTACCTTCACCCCCTTAGGAAGGGGGTGGGGGAGATGGTTACGCAACAAACAATCCTTTCTCCTCCATTCTCTGGGGACTTTGGGCACTTTCTCACACCCATACTAGGTCCAGAACTTGAACCATGGTCGGCCATGTGGGAGTCCAGCACCTTTGCCTGGTGCCCATGCCCTCAGCATTATGAAGAAAGAGGGGTATATGTTTTATGCAATATTAGGGCTTTTAAGCTTTCCTAGAGGAAAAAGAAGAATGGAGGGTGATAAGAACAATGAGCCACTGGGAGGTTTTTGAAGGTCACATAGATTGTAAAAGATGATACTGATCACTGAGGCACAAAGTTTAGACAGCCGTAGGGATTTTGGCTCCATGGGCAGGAAAGAAGATGGAGGTTTGGGCTCATCAATTCCCACCATGGACATAGTCTTGTAACATCTTTCCCTTGGCACAAGTGCTCCTGGCTGCAGAAAGACTCACGGAACCCACAGAGGCAAGTGCAGGGTGTTCAGAAAGTTCAGAAAGACTCTGAACCCATTCACAGTCTCTGAATTGTGGTGACTTGAGACTCTTAGTGCCATTTCTCTAGTACTTTCATCTGGGCCCTCTGTAGAAACCCTAAATCTGGGACTGGCAGTTAGCGTAATGGCTATGTCGCTGGACTCCCACATAGTCGACCGCGGTTCACGTCCCGGACCCGATGGCTTAAAACTCACACCAGGCATGTGTGCGTGCGTGCCCAAGATCCCAAGAGGAGAATGGAGGAGAAGGGATTGTGTCGTGGCCATCCCCACTAGGGGGTGATTTCTCGCTTTCTGTCTCTCTGTCTCTGTCTGTCTGGCGAGCTCATGTGCCCTAAAGCAACAACAACAACAACAAAAAACTTCTCCAAAAAAAGAAAAAGAAACCCCAAATCTGAAGTCCCAAGTACATGACAAAAGTGATAATGGAGGTGCTGCCTTTACTAGTAACTGATATAAAAGGAAAGGAAGGTTATAATATAACCTATTATATAACCCAATATATAAAACCTATTGGAAGGTTAATCCAATAGCTGGTATGAAGATGTGCAAACACTTAGAAGTAAAACTGATCAGAGAGGTGATGGCATCAGTCTTAATTGACTGCACAGTGGGCGATGGACTGTGGGATTGAAAGGAAAGGAAGAAAGATTATAATGGAGACTACTGCCATATTTAGGTGGGCATCAATGGGCTAGATTTGTAGTTTAAGAGATACAGCAAGATGCTGGATTCATGTTTGTTAAAGGATAACTAGACTGTCTAATAATGACAGTGAAGGTGTGAAAGAGGAATCGGGTATGAATCCTGTATTTGGTCTTTGCAACTATAGGATGGAAGCTACGTCAACTACAGTAAACAAGTTGATGGAATAATACTAGGGAAATTGCAAGACTTATTTTTGTCGGCGTCTGCCCCCAGACTTAGCGCTATTATGGAAGAAGCAGAAAAGATGAGACAAAAAGATAGAGTGGAAATGGACACAGGCAGCCTGAGCCTAGGTAGCCCAAGCAACCTGTGCCGCCCAGATGACCTGGACGTTTTTATTTATAGTACAAGGAGACATTATACATGTATGTTTCATGACGCTTCATGGATTAGTTGCCAGGTTACAGACAATGAAAAGCAGTTAACAAATCTATAAGGGATTAGTCATACCCTGGGCAAGGTGTATCCCTTGGTGGTAATTCCATCTAGAGTAAATCTCATCTTCCTTTTTAATGCAGAGAACTAGCTGTTAGGTGTGGGGAAGGAGCTAAAGAACTTCTCTATAAGGAGTGCACCACCACACCCAGAGTATGCTAAAGAACCTTTTAGATGCAGAGTAGGGATTGGACTTTACTAATTGGGGTCAAGATGTTTCTTGAAGTCCATCAGATATGCCCCTAGTAATTTCCACCCTTGCTCTGTCTGTCACCAAGGTTAAGGAAAGACAAGTTACAAAGATCTGCCAAACCCCAAAAGAGCATGGGGTGTTTGCTCAGCACATGTCCCCACACCTCAGACTCTCTCTCTTAAACGTGTCCCCACATATTTTGCCCCTGCTAAGAGTTGGAGGTATTTCAGAAAGCTCTAAGTGGAGGTATCAAATGGACAGTTGGTCAGATGGGCTCTCTGGAGACGGATTGATATTGGAAGCATTCAGTGTATCTATAGTAGCTAATGTGATAATGAAGGTGAGTGAGCCATGGTCACATATAGAAAAACCAGTCTTAAGATTATGGTGGTAAAAATATTAATAGGAGGTGAAGTGGGCCAGCAGGTGATATGATAGTTAAGGCAATGAATTCCCACATGACTGACTGTGGTCCCAGTCCCGGACCTGGCGTCTTACTTTTTCACTTTTTCTCTATATAAATATCTTTCTCTAATGAGCACATGTGCCCTATAATAAATTTTTAAAATATATAATAATAGGGATCAACAGATAGTATAATGGTTACATCACATGTAGTCTACCACAGTTCAGGTCCCGGACCCAGTGGCTTAAAACTCAGGCCAGGTGCATATGTGTGCCCAAAACCCCAAAAGGGAAATGGAGGAAAAGGGATTGTAACATGGCCATCTCCGCCATCTCCCCGGGGGGGGGGGGGGGCGTGATTTCTCGCTTTATGTCTCTGTTTCTCTCTGTCTCTCCTGTGAGCGCATGCACCCTATAGCTAAAATCTCTCTCAAAAAAAAAATGTGTGTGTATTTATGTAAATATATATATATTTATGTGTATATATATATATATATATAACAATAAATAAAATTAAATAATTCTTTTTAAAAATGTATTAGAAAGTGAGAAAGGAGAAGTTGGTTGCTGAGAACTAAGTCACTTGTATACCTAACTGATCATATTGGATGTCATAAACACAGGTGAGGGAGGTATGTGGGCATAAAGGGGGAAGATATTTCAGATAGCAAGATTTAAAGGTGGCATATGCTTCCAAAGAAAGAAAGGGTATGAGGTGGATGGAGAAGCATAGGAATAATTAAGGGAGGATGACATTCAAGTTAGATCTAGTGCTTATTCACCTAAAGGTTCATCATGACTTGGAGATAATTTCATTTAACCTCGGTTATTTTATTTACTTTGGTAGGTATCTTTAGGGGCAAATATAGTCACCTATGAAAGTTTCCCTACCTGGGTGGGTTACCACAGGATTGGACTTTGCATGGGGCAAGGTGGACAAAGGAATGTCGTAATTGCTGAGGGGACATAAAGTACAGCACAAAAGAATAGGGCCATGAATATGAGAAACCACACATGGTTTGGTGTGCCTATGTAGCCCTTAGGGGAGATCTTTGAAGAAATATATGGGGCTGTCATTGCTATTGAGATCCCCTGGCATACTATTAGATCCTTTTTGAATTTGCCAAGCTTACTTGAATGCTGTCAGCCAAAATGTGTGAGGCCCCAAAGTATAATGTGCTACCATGACATCTGGTAGTATCAGGATGATCTGAAGAGGCCTGAGTGGAAATTTCCTTTACGTTCTCCTATCTTGGGTAATGGATCCTATTCTAATAACTTTTTATGAAGGGGACCAGGTGGAGTTTCTGGTTACTATTCTTTTGTGGCAACTTTCAGTTTCAGCCTAACCTATAGTTAGTCAAATAAGTCAGTTCTACCCTTTCAAGAGAATCAGTGAACACACCTTATTGATTCTATAAAACTTACATATCAGTTCCTAATTGTTCTCTCTTATACATAGTACAGCCCCTGTGCTGCCCTCCATGGTAAGTGCTAGCCTCCTTTCCTAGGCTGTGAGTATATTTGATTAATAACTGGTTGTTGATGTCTTGTGTGTTTGGTCTTCAGTAGATTCCTAAGGCAGTAATTCTACCCTCAATAGTGAGCTGAAAAGAAGAAATTAAAATACTTTTAACTGGGCCAGCCAGTGCTATGGTGGTTAAGGTGGCTGGGTCCCCAGATGGTCAACTGCATGGTTCAAGTCCAGAACCAGGTGCCTTGAAAAACAAGCTGGGTGAATGTATGTTCGTTCCCAAAATCCTGAAAGGAGGGATAGAGAATGGATTGTGGTATGACCATCCCCTATGGGGAGTGCTTTCTCATTTTATGCCTTCTCCAGTGAGTGCACACACTCTCTAGCAAATTAAATATATATATATACATACATACACATACATACATACATACATACACACATGCTCACATACATACATACATACACACACACATATGATGAGGCCAGAGAAGCCTGTGTGTCTGGTATCTGGAGATTTAAGGAATGTGCCATCTAAAGAACAATATGTAGAGAAGGGAGTGTTTCTGATGGTCCCATGGTACTGCATTTGGATTTCTATGGCTTTGACCATACCAGGAGAAGTACTTTTCATTACCTTCATATGGTCCTGATATGAAGCATAAATATCCATCCACTCACGTGTTATTGCTAATGGAGGTACACTATGATCAGTAGGCCCATGAGGGGATAGTGGCCTCAGTGGACCCAGTTTTTCTTCCTATGTAGAGACCTTAGATGAGGCATAGGAAGGACTAATGTGTTGAAGAGATGGACTATAGGTCCTCTAGATGATGGACTGTTTATAGTCTCATTTTTCACTATTATAGCAGGGTGACGTGACCTTTGAAGACGTGGCTGTGAACTTTTCCCAAGAGGAATGGAGGCTCCTTAATGAGGCTCAGAAATTCCTATACTGTGATGTGATGCTGGAGATCTTGTTACCTCTCTCCTCCCTGGGTAAGACCCTCACGCTCATTCCTGGGACCAGAGCTAGTCTCTCATCTTTCACATTCTAGTTGGCAAGTCTGTGTCTGTCACAGGAAGATCATGAACACAACTTCTTTCCCCAGTTACCTGCATTGGTGCTGAGTTTTGTAGGACTGAGGTGTATATACTGCCCCCTCTCTTTCAACTGTCCCGATGTGTGCTTTTCTACAGACTCCCAGGTAAAGATTTAGTGTCTTGCATTAGGGATATACTTAATGCATCCCACTTTGCCTGCCCTCTACTGTCTTGAAGGCTTTATCCATATCTAAGGATTTTGTATACCCCAGGTTCTACTTCCTTCCTTTTGCCATTATTTTTTCATGCTCGCATATATGAGAAATTGCCATGACTGGCATGGTCGTCCATAGACTATGAGCTATTCTTCAACGACTCTGCTTTGAAGTTCTCTTCATAATATGTAGTATCCTTTCTACTGAATTATGTGCTGAGTCGTCACCGAGGGCTGACTATATATCATCAGTCCTTAGTACCCACATCATACAGGTTCCACATACTTGATCATCTTTGTGATGGGATTCATGCACATGAATCCACATTCAGTAAGATGGTTTCAAAAGGAGTCTTACCCTAAGGAGAGACAACTTGGGGAAGAGCAAAGCAGTAGGGCTTTTATTCACATCATATTAGAAACTTGTCCTCTTTGACTAGTATTTGGTGCTCATAGTGGTAGCCACACACTTTGTTTTTTCTTTCCTATTCCTGAGAGTCTGTGTACTTTTCAGCTGTATTCTTTGTCACTTCTATTCTTTTTTTTTTTAAGATTTATTCATTTCATTTTATTTGTTATTATTAGTTATCTTTTTTTTTTTCTTCATTTTTTTGACCAGAGGAAGCAGAGAAAGAGAGAGAGTGAACCTCCAGGTCCAGGACTCAAATCATGGTTGGCCATGTGATAATCCAGCGCCTTTAACCACCATGCCACCTGCTGGCCCCTGTCACTTCTATTCTTATATTCACTTAGGAATAATCTTTAAATCTCTAAACTCTGTCTCAGCTATTTTCCCCATACAATTGCAGTGATCACCAATATTGATCTATATATTTTGTATACAAACATGTACACCATTTAAAAAAAAAATTTTTTTTTAAGTTTTTGCCATAGGACACATGTGCTTGCCAGAGAGAAGGAAAGTGAGAAATCACCCACTACAGGAGATGGCCACATCACAGTCCCTTCTCCTCCTGGGATTTTTGAGCATGCACACACATGCACCTGGCATGATTTTCAAGCCATCAGGTCTGGGACTTGAACCACAGTTCAAGTAGTTGGCCATATGGGAGTCCAACTGCCTTAACCACATCACTTGCTGGCCACTGTACCCCCATTCTTAACAGTCTCTGACAAATAGCTGCTGTACTGTAGTTATATTTTCTTGAGCCTGGATATATCCCTCTATATAGCATTCACACATCATTTGCAGAAACAGTCTTTTTTTAAAATTATTATTTATTTTATTTTTATTTACTCATTAATTTATTTTTTTAATTTGACCAGAGAGAGACAGAGGATGAGAATGAGAGAGAGGAAGTGAGAAAGCAAGCCACCAGATTTAGGACTCGAACCCTGGTAGGCCATGTGGGAGTGTCCAACGCCTTAACCACCACGCCACCCGCTGGTCCCCAGAAACAGTCTTATAGATAAACCGTTGCCTCTTACTGTCTGTGTTGCATTGTATAGTTGTGCCCTTTGTATGATGAGGCCTCTTATATTCTCTGATCTTCATAGCCCAGTAATGCTAAGCAGTCCCATCTTCAACATGAACCCAATTCCCTATGTTTACAAATAATTTTGTGGAGTATTTCCTGGGCTTATAAGAACCTATTCAGTAAGGGTCATCCCTTCTTAACTAAAGTCAACCTGCACATCACTACCCTTTTCTTGCTTTCAGGACTTTGGCAGTGCATTCAAGATGCGGAGGCACCTTCTAGGCAACATATATCTCTACAAAGGATGTCCCAGATCAGATCTGTGAAGCCAGTTATGTTTTCCAAGAAAGGCTATCTCTGTGAAACACATAACCCAATCTTGGGAGACATTTTGGACTTGGCTGAGCACCATGAAACACATCAAAATCAGAAACTGCGTAGGTCTGGAACATGTGTGAAAATTTTTTCTGTCTCTGCAAACCTTCCTCACCAGAATCAGAACGTTAAAGAGAAACCCAATAGGAGTCATGGCAAGAGATCTAAGTTTCATGTGTCAGGGAAGCCGTTCATCTTCAGTGAGGCTGGGAAGGACTTTGTGGCCAGTTCAGAATTTCTCCAACAAGAAGCCAGTCACACTAGGGAGAACTCTAACAGTGTAACGGACTGTAGAACACTCATCAAAGGAGTTAAAACTTGTTATAGATTAGAAAATGGCACAGACACCTTCAGCTCCAAACACATATTTGTTCGGCACCAGAAAGTCCTCACTAGAGAAGGACGTTACACATACAGAGAATGTGAGGAATCTATTAGCAGAAGTGATAGCTTTAGTAACCATCATAGAATTGACACTGCAGATAAACCTTATGAATGTAGGGAATGTAGGAAATTCTTTATTTGTAATTCTAAACAACACCAAAGTGTTCGGAGTGGGAAAAGTGTAGGAAAAAGGTGCAAGGAATGTGGAAAGATGTTAACTTATGGTTGCAATGTTTTATACCGCCAGAAAGTTCACAGTAGAGAAAGGCCTTCTGAGTGTACAGAATGTGGGAAATTATTTAGTCATAAGTCTCATTTCATTCAGCACCAAAGAGTTCACACTGGAGAAAGGCCTTACATGTGTGAAGAATGTGGAAAATTATTTGTCAACAAGTCACACCTCAGTGTACACCAGAGAGTTCACACTGGAGAAAAACCTTATAACTGTGGGGAATGTGGGAAATTATTTAGCAACAAGCACCACCTTATTGAACACCAGAGAGTTCACACTGGAGAAAGACCATATGAATGTAAAGAATGTGGGAAATCATTTCGTCATAGGTCTGCTCTCCGTCAACATGAGAGACTTCACACTGGACAAAAGCCTTATGAGTGCAGCGAATGTGGGAAATCCTTTGCTGAAAGTTCCAGCCTCATTAAACATAGACGAGTTCACACTGGAGAAAGGCCTTATGAATGTGGCAAATGTGGAAAATCTTTTTCCCGAAGCTATTCACTCCTTCAGCATCAGCAAGTTCATACTGGAAAAAGGCTTAATGCGTGCTGTTAATGTGGAAAATTTTTTTGCTGCACTCTGGTCTCATTAAACACAAGAGTTCATACTGGAGAAAGGTTTTGTAAGTAAAATAGTCTTTGGAAATTCTTTAGCTAGATCTCTGTATTCCCTCAAGATCATAAAAATGAAACTGGGCCAAGGTTTGTTTGTTTGTTAAATTTTTTTTGTTTAACTTTATTGGTTTATTGATATATTTTCATTTGACCAGAGAGAGATAAAGTAAGCTGCCAAGTCCAGGACTCAAACTGCAGTTGGCCATTTGGGAGTCCAGAGCCCTTAACCACCATGTTACCTTCTGGTCCCATGAAATTGGATCAAGTTTTTAGGAGAAGGGATTGCGGCGTTACCATCACCCCGGGGGGAGGTGTGTGTGATTTCTCACTTTCTGTCTCTATGTCTCTGTCTGTCTGGCAAGCGCACACGCCCTATAGCGAAAACCTCTCCAAAAAATAAAAATGTGAGAAATCTTGGGGACCAGCAGATGACTGACTAAGGCACTGGACACTCCCATATGGCTGACCATGGTTTGAGTCCTGGACCTGGTGGCTTGCTTTCCCACTTTCTCTCTCTCTCCCCCCCTCTCTCTCTGTGTGTCTCTTTCTGGTCAAATTAAAATAAATGAATGACTAAATAAAATTGAATAATTCTTTTTAAAAAATTGTGAGAAACCTTTATCTCAAATTCTAGATTCATCACATGCTAGAGAGTTTCCCCTGGGGAACACCTCTTAGGTGCAGGAGATGTTAGAAAAAGTTATCATGCCAGCAGGTGGTGTGATTAAAGTGCTGGACTTCCACATGGCTGACAGCTATTCGAGTCCTGGGATTGGTGACTTGAAAATCATGCTGGGTATGTGTGTACATTCCCAGAAATCCCAGGAAGAAAAGGGATTGAGGCATGGCCATCACCTGGGGCCTGATTTCTCACTTTCCCTCTCATGGTCTCTCTCTCTCTGATGAGCATACATGTCCTATTGCAAAAACCTAAAAAAGGAATGGGCCAGACGTGGCATGGGTTAAGTGTTGGTCCCACACAGCCAACTCTGGTTCAAGTCCTGGACCTAGTGGCTTGAAAAACACACACATGGAACCAGCAGATGGAGTGGTAGTTGAGGTGCTGAATTCCCACATGGCCAACTACAGTTCGAGTCCCAGGCCTAGTGGCTTGAAAATCACAACAAATAAGTAAATAAATGTTTAAAATCAAGCAAACAAACACATGCATGTGTGCCCAGAGCCAAAGAGGAGAAGGGATTTCAACATGGCCATCCTGTGGGAGGTGGGAAGATGTTTTCTCATTTTCCCTCTGTTTCCAGCGAGCACATATGCACAGGAGGGTGGGAGGGGATGTAGATTTTAAATAGTAAGATAGAGATGTAAAGAATCAATCCCTTGGGCCTGTTGGCATGGTGGTTAAGGTAGCTGGATCCCACATGACTGACTGCACAGTTCAAGTCCCAGAACCAGTGACTTGAGAGACATATCAGGCACTTGTGAGTGCATGCCCAAAATCTCAAAAGGAGAGTGGAAGAGAAGGGATTGTGGTGTGGCCATTCCCCTTGAGAGGTGCTTTCTCACTTTTACTCTTTCTCCCTCTCCTCCATCCCACAACCCTTACCCTTTCTATCTCCAGCAAGTGTACATGCCTTATAGCAAAAATAAAAACTCAACCCCGGAATGGTACCTTACATGGCAGCATGATCTATATATACATACTAACTTCACTATCGGTAACGTTTTGCTCTTGTCTAGAAAGATCATTGGTGATTCCAAGCCAATAAAGGTTTATAGAGTATCATCTGGAAGTCATAAAATGACCTTTAAACTAACTAAATTGATACACTGATGGGAATTTCCCTGTACCTTTGTGGAGAATGAAATCTATTACCACTTTTTAAAATTTGTTTTTAAAGAGATTTTTGCTGTAGTGCACATGCACTTGCTGGAGAGACAGAAAGTCAGAAATCGCCCAAAGGGGGGATGACCATGTTGCAGTTTCTTCTCTTCCATTCTCTCTGAGTTTTAGGCACACATGCACATGCGCCCCGCATAAGTTTCAAGCCACTACGTCGAGGACTCTAATTGCAGTCAGCTGGGATTCCAGAGCTTTAACCACTGTGCCAACTGCTGGCACACCACCAAATTTTGTTTCAATAAACCTTTGTAATTAGAAATTTAAGAGCCTTGGGACCAGCAGATGGCATGGTGGTTAAGGTGCCAGACTCCCACATGGCCAACCACAGTTCAAGTCCCAGACCTGATGGCTTATTTTCTCACTTCCCTCTCTGCCTCTCTCTGGTGAATGCATGTGCACTATAGCAAACAAAATAATAAAATTAAATCATTTAAAAAATTTAAGAGCATTTATATATATATATGCCGGGGACCATCCTTGGCGTGGGTGGGTTGGCTCGACAGAGGCGACGCTGGAAAGGAAAGGAAGACTAAGGCCTCGTGCCTATTCATGCACGTCCTCAGCCGGACACTCCCAGAGATCACTCTCTGAGGAGTGACAACTGCTAGGAATCACCGTGCCTTTTTATTGAAAATGGGATACATGCAAGTAAATGGGAGAGGGGCTACGTGACCTAATTATCAATTCATAAAGTTTTAACAATTAAGATCAAAGATTCTATTCAGGTTTTAATTAAGGGCAGATCTATTAATCATCGATGCAATTCAACAATTGATTGATAATTGATTGATGTAAGCAAGCTTTTGGGAACTTCTGTT